GAAATTATTAATTACTTTTTATATTTGTTCTATGAAATAAATATAAGGATTTTTTAAATAAATATATATACCTTTTTTTATCTTTTAAAATAGCATATTTTCCGGACGTTAAGCTCTAAAAAAAGCAGCAATTTTTTAATTATATTATTAGTTTTAAAAATATTCTAAATATTTTTTTTAAAATATCCTTATTTAAAGTTAAAATATAAAATAAATTATTAATAAGATTAAATTTTAATAATATTTAATAATTTTTATAAATATTTTAAAAAATAATTATTATAATTTGTATAAAAGTTACTTTTTTTATATAATTATTAAATATTTTTCTTTATAATAATCTTTAATATAATTTAATTTATATTTTTATTTAGTATAAATTAGTTTATTTATAGAATTTAAAAAAGCAATAACTTTTTATTTTTTAAGAAAGATTAAAGTTCTTAATAAATTATTTATTTTTAAACCAAAAATATAATTATATATAAATCTTTTATAATTTAATTTTAGCAAATTAACATATAAAATAGGGATTTATAATAAGGTTTTAAATAATATAATAATATTAATCTCTATTAAAATTCATCTTTATATAAGATTTTATTTATATATTTTTTTATTAATACTTTTAATTAATTATAAAAACTTATAATTATAATTTAATTAAAATAATAAATATTAATTATATATTTATAAAAAAAAGATATTTTTGAAAATAAAATAAATTATAAATTATTATATATTAATAAAATTTTAATAATAAATTAATTTATAATATAATTTTAATTATATATTTTAAAAATATTAAATTAAAAAGTAGCCTTTTTCATTAAAAAGATTTTTTTAGCTATACCTTTTATTAAAATTAAGGCTATTAATTATATATAGATATAAAGTGTAAATTTTATAAATTAAAATTAATTAATTAAAATTAATTAATTAAAATATTAAAATAACTTATATTTATATAAATTATTATAACTTTATAATAATTTTTTAAAATGGTTTTTATTTATAAATATATATAAATTACAAAGTTTAAATTAAGGTAAAAGCTTTATTAGAACTTTATAATAATAAGATTATAAATCTTATTTTTTATAAATATTTATTTTTTGTAAAATTATATTTATATGTTTTTTAAAAGGTTTAAAAGTTTTAATTATATTTTATATATTTTATATATTTTAACAAAACTATATATAAAAAAAACTATTTTATTGTTAAAATAATTATAATAAATTTAATTTTATCTTTATTAAAAAATATTTTATAATTATTTAAAAGTATTTTATATTTAAAGGAAATAATAAAATAATTATATATAATATTAATTTTTTCGCTAATTTTATTTTTATTTATTTTTATATATATACTTTTACAATTTTCCTTAAATATTTCTTTTATTATAATATATCTTTTATTATAATATATCTTTTAATTATTAATTATTATTTAATTTAATTTCTTTTGAAATTAGCAGTATTTATATATATTTTATCTTAAATTCCTAAATAACTATTAATAAAGTAATTAAATTGGATCCATTATTAATAAATTCAATAAAATAATTATTATTTACAATAGATATATTTATAAAATTTACTTTATTTATAAAATCCATTTTATAATTAATAAAATTAATAATTATTTTGTTTATAATTATTATATTTATAATTATAACGTTTATAATTTTTAATTCTAATTTATATCTTCTTATTCATTAATATAAATAATATTTACTATTATTTTAATAAGTTTAAAAATAATTGCTATTAATGATGTTAAAATGGTAAAGATTATTAATAATGTTAATATAGTAAGTAAAGTTAGTTTTATATATAGGCCTTTAATTATAACATTATTTTAATAAATCTTTTACTTTTCTTTAATATAAGTAAAGTAATTATTAAAAATTATAATATCATAAAGTTTATTAATAAAACTTTTTAAACCTAAATAAATAAAGTTATATATTTAATTTATTTATTATATATAAAATTTAAAACTATATACCTTTATATTTTAAAAAGGTTTTATAATTTAATATATAATAAGTACGTTTTTAATTAATTAAGTACAATTATATATTATAATTTATATAATTACTTATATATTTATAAAATTAATTTTAAACTTTTTAATAATAAAGTTTGAAATATATTTTAAATTAATAAATATAATAACTTTTTATATATTTATAAGGTAAATTATTTATTATATTTAAGTATTTCCGTAAAATAATTATAAAAAATTATTTTAAAAAATATCTTATTTAATGAAATTAATAATAATTATTTAATATAAATTTATAAATAAATAAACGTTTTTTTAATAAATATTTTCAAAAATAGTAATATAATTACTTATTTTATAAAATTTAATTATATTAGAATAATATAATAAAATTTCTATTTATTAAAATTAAAATAATAATTTTAATTAAAACTTTATGCAGTTTAATTAATATTTTATAAGAAATCTTTTATATTATTATTTTTTAAAATAATTTATAATATTATTATAATATTATTACCTTAATTTTAATTAAATATAATATTTAATAAATTTCTTTATAAAAATTGAAAATAATTTAAATTTAAAAATAATTCTATATAATTATTAAATAATTTAAATTCTTTATTAAATTTCTTATATTTTAAATTTCGTTTAAATTTATTATATTTTAAATATTATTTAAACTCTTTAAAAAAGAATATTTAAAAAAGTTTTTTAAATTAGAAGATTATTTAGAAATTAAGGAACAATTAAATAAGTTTAAAGTAATTTTTGTAACTTTAAATAAGCAAATCTGTAAAAGAAAATTAATTAGCTAAAAAAAGTAATAAATCCGGATATTAATTAATGGAAAAGGATAATAAGTTAATAGAAGAAAATAACTGCATAACGCATTTTAATTACTATATCAACTATTTTACTTAATTAATTAAATTTTTTGCTAATAAATTTAAGCTTAAAATATATATATATATATATATATATAACCTTTATGAAAGTAATTTAAAATTATTGATATATTATAAAAATATATTATCCTTTAAATTAATAAGATTTAATATATTATAATAAAAAATTTATTATATAATTAATACTTTAGGATTTAAATTAACTTATAATTTAAAAATCTTAAATACTTTTATTTACTATATATTTTAAATAGAAAAAATATAATTATATACTTAAATAACTTATTTATTAACTTAAAAAATATTTAAAATCCATTTAATAAAATATACTTTTAATTTATAACTTTAAATTTAATTTATTTATTAGATAATTAAAAATAGAACTTAATATTTAATCTTTACTTTATTTAAAAAAAATATAATATAAATAATAATTTGTATTACTTTATTTTAAATCTTACAAATTTAAATAAATTATAAATATTCATTTAAAAAAGTAATAATTTAATAGCAGTTAATAATATTTAAAAACTTATTAAATATAAGATTAAAAAACTAAATTATTAAAGGATTTTATTAATAATATTAAAAAAAATGAAAATTAATATTAAAAGGATAAAAGATTAATAAAAAAGGAAGATTTATTAAGTAAATTTATTAAAAAAGATTAAATTTGCTACATAGTTAAAATATATATATAATTAAGAAAGTAATGATTATTAAGTTTAAAATTTTTTTAAAAAAAACGTAAAAGGTTTTAAGGGAAAAACGGTTATTAGTTTTAAAACTTTTTAAAAAAAAATTACGGGTTTTAAGGAAAAAAAATTTATTATATAATTTATTATAAAATCAATTTATAAGAAAGTATAATCTTAAAGGTATATAACTTATTTATTTTTGGGAAAGTATTGTCCTAATAAAGGGAAAAAGTAAATATATTTTTCGTAAAAAAGTAAGAAACTTTAGGTGTAAAAGGCTATTATAAGAAATCAGTTTTATAATATCGAATTTAAAAATAATTTACTTTAACCAGTTATCCGGGCGGGTAAAAAATTGAAGTGAGTTATTTGCTCGAAGGACTAATAATTCGACAGAATCTTTTTATTTGCTAATTGGGCTAATAATTAAATTAAAAAATAAAAGGAAAAGAAAAAGAAGAAGTACTACCAAATATTAAACTTTAATTTTTAAATTAAATAATTATTAATTAAAAAAGAAAATCTAATAAATCCGAAAGATCTGTTAATTTTCTTTTAAATTAAAATAAAGTTTTTTTTATTTACATTTTTATCTTTTTTATCTTCTTAATAGCAATTATTATTAAATTAAAAAAAATAATAAATATAAATATTTATTTTTTTAAAAAAAGGGGTATATATTAAAAAAATAAAAAAGATAAAAATATAAATAAAGAAACTTTATTTTAATTTAAAAAAGAATTAATAAATCCAAAAAATTTATTAAATTCTCTTTTTTAATTAATAATTATTTAATCTGAAAATTAAAGTTTAATAATTTTAAAACTTTTTACTATTTTATTTTTTAAAACTGTTTTAAAGCTTTAAAACCGTTATAAATTTTAAAGCATTATATATTTTAAAAGAAAATTTCAAAAATTAAACGCCTTTAATAATCCTTAAACTTAAACCTTGTAATTTCTTTTCTATTTTTAATTACGTAATTATTTAATTTAATTATTTTTTATTTTACGAATTATTACAATTTACGATTACGAAGCAAAGTCATTTCAACTAAACTATTTAATGATTACTAATATGAAAGTCTATTTATTATTTGCTTATATAACCTTTACGTGCCCGATTTTTTAACCGAACTTACCCCACTTAGCTAGAATGGTTTTAGCCGCATAGAACTAATCCACTTTTAGAACCATACCAACTAATAAAACGGTTTTAAGCTTTTAGAACGGTCCTTTTTGAAAAAAAAAAAGGTACAAAAAGGATGTACCTTCCACAACCTGAAATTTCAGCCAATCAGAGGCCTCAAAACCAACAAACGTTCTACCCTACCCAACCATTCTACGGATAGAACCATTCTACAAAACCCCCCTCTGCCGCTATGGTATATATATATATATAACAGCTTAAAAAGCTTAACATCGTGCACGCGAGAGGACGACGACTTTGCTAGTAGCTCATCTCGCAAAGACCAAGAAACGCCAAGGAACTCCTGTTCTTGTATGGCGTCGACGAAGGATTGCAATTGCTATACGATCTCTTGTGCTATAACTGATTTCTCAAGCAACGAGGCGCCCATGCGGGCATGCTGTACTCCTTGTCAAGTAAATATACCGAGGACCTTCGGTCCAGAGCCATGGCAACCCTTTTGTGCGGAAAGGGCTTTAGTGCCAATTTCGGATCGTTCAATTTTCCCCACAAACAGTCTGTATCTTAGTTTTCAGGTCCGGCAACGCACACGCAGCAAAGGATATCGGATGGCTCAAAACCGATCGCCGCTGACGCAACGTCCAAGCACGATCCCACGGGTGTATGCCAAGGGACTCATCGTTGAGATAATCTGCGTAGTCGGACAGCATCGCTCGAAGTGAAGGGCCAGAATGGGCAGAGAACGAATAGAGTGAAGTGAGGCTCGTCTCCATTGACAAACCTCGCTAATGACGTACCCGCGCTAATCGCTTCATCATAGCTTTCGACAATCGCATGCGCGTTGGTTCCCCCAAATCCAAAGCTATTCACGCTTGCTCTCCTAGTGTGTGCGGCGGGCCAAGGTAGGAGTTTTTGCAGAATCTCGATGTTCTTGTAGAACGGTGCAACATTGTCGCTGAGTTCGTCAAAAAGGAGGTTTAGAGGAATCTGATGCTTCTGTATAGCTAGTGATGCCTTCAGCAGCGCCGCAACGCCGGCTGCTCCCTCGGTGTGTCCAAGGACCGTCTTGATTGAACCAGCGTAGATCACGCTCGGAGCGTCCAGCGGCTCCGAGCTGTCAGGAACAGAGAATGCCCCTGTACTGAATGTCTTATAGATAGCTTCAGCTTCCTTGGGATCGCCGACAGGTGTCCCAGTGCCGTGAGCTTCGAACAGTAGTGGCCTGTCACTTTTCTTATTGAGGTCCAGTCCTGCTCTAGAATAAGTGCTGCGCATTAGCATCTCTTGAGCCGATGCGCTCGGCACAGTTATCCCTGGCGTGGCTCCGTCTTGATTGATTCCAGTCTCACGAATCACACATTCGACATGATCACCGTCCTCCAAAGCAATACTTAGTCGCTTAAGGACTATAGCTGCGATACCTTCACCTCGTGCATACCCGTCAGCTTTCTGATCCCACATACGACTACGACCAGTAGGCGACAACATGTTAAGCTTGCTCTCAATGATAAAGCTTTCCGGGACAATAATCAAATTTGCCCCGCAAGCCAGAGCCATGCGGCAATCACCGGATCGTAAAGCCTGGACGGCCAGATGAACGGCTACAAGGCTAGAGCTGCATGCCGTATCAACTGTTACCGACGGGCCATGCCAATCGTAGAAATGAGATAGGCGATTTGACAGGACGCTCTGGCCAGTCCCCGTGGCAAAATACGTTAGCAACGTTTCGTAATCGCGCAGAAGCATTGTAGCGTAATCGTTGAACATGACGCCGACGAAAACGCCTGTATCACTACCTCTTTGGCTTGAAATCGACACACCGGCGGCCTCTAGCGCCTCGTAGGAGACTTCTAGCAGTAATCGCTGCTGAGGTTCCACTGCTTTTGCTTCAACAGGCTTCACGCTAAAGAAGTCGCCATCAAAGCATGCCAAGTCTTCGCTCAGTACGTAGGCATGGCGCACGTTAGAGTGTCCATGGTGGGCGCTGTTTTTATGATAAAACCCATGGGGGTTGAACCTGGTGTTCGGGATTTCCTGAAGGAGGTCTGTGGGTGCTCTTAGGACATCCCACAGTTTAGACGGTGAGCTGACATTACCAGTGAAGCGGCAGCCACTTCCGATCACTGCAATCGGTTCTTTCGTATAAGATGTCATAATGAAATCAGCAAGATCCTATAAATTCTAATATATGGCGGAGAAGCCACTCGAATGTGGTAAATCTGTCTCTTTAAAAGGCACCTGTTGCTAGCTAACTCCAGACCTGTTGGCGAATAATCTAAATACCTAGGTAGGTAGCTATAAACACGACGCTTTTCGACAAGGAATCTGACCGAGGAAAACGATAACTACCTCCTAGGTACCTAATGGTTATAGGTACTAGGTGTACATATCTATGCCATGTTAATACTATCCCATTTGTCGAGTTCGCATTACTCGTCTGCCTGCTTCTAGAGTACCCAGATACTACGAGTTGAATAATATTCTCTTTTGAGCATTGAGCTAGCTGAAAGCCAAGTGCATCGCGTACTGACTCTCAGAACCTATTATAACTGCTGAATAGCACGGGGAATCAGACCTGCAGGCAACGCCACTCTGTTAGAGGGGAAATGTTGGTGAAGAGGGCTATCTATATGCATATTAGTATCAAAACAACAATAAAAGGGATACTACTTAGTGGTTCTGCAGTGATAGTCCGGTGGTGAGACAAGAGTGTATACCTTCCTAAAAGGAATGTTTGGAGGGGATCAATCATAAAGACGGCGGTTACGCATAACACTTGGTTGCTGGTGCCGTCAGACCCCTATATTAGGTAAGTACCTAGCTATCGTTTTCTTCGGTCAGATTCCTTGTCGAACAGCGCCGTGTCTAGCAACACCCATCAAGACATTCTACTAGCCTCCAGACACCTTACCAGCATGAGCCAGCCGCATCTGCAAACAGGCGTAGTCCAGTCCACGGAGCCGTTTTCCGCGACGAATTCAGTGACAGTAATCGGTGTCGGAAACTATCCCCATGCCGGTCTTAACAACACCCGAGCAAGTACTCGTGCGCGTGTTGGCTGTCGCGCCCAACCCTAGCGATTTCAAGATGGTTAAGTACTCCCCTCAGGCTACCACTAAAATAGCTATTGGCTGCGATTTCTGCGGCATCGTCGAAGAAAGCCGCCAGGAGGATAAATTTCCGAAGGGCACTCGGGTAGCAGGCGCCAAGTTTCCCTATGGGACAAGTACCAGCGGAGCCTTTTCTGATTGGCTTGTTGCCGACACCAGGCAGCTCCTGCGCATTCCGGATGCATTTGATGACCTGGAAGGTGCTGCGATCGGTGGTATCTGCTGGGGAACATGTGTGGTGGCTCTTTTTGCGGACGCAGAGGGCCTATGCTTACCTGGTTCCCTGACGAAACCGGCAAACAAGTCATATCCTGTGCTGGTATACGGCGCCGTTACAGCGACTGGTACAATGGCTTGCCAAATGTTGAAACTGTAAGTCACGCTAGAACGTGCAGATATCTAGGTAGGGTACTACATGATACGCGTCGAAGAATTTCTAACGGACTCGTTGGTAGGGCTGGCCATACACCGATCGCCGTCACGTCAGCAGCGTCCGCTTCTTTGGCGTGCACCTACGGAGCCGTCGGCTCAGCCCTCTATACTTCACGCACTTGCGTTGAAGACATCCGGTCGTTTATTCCCAAAGGCGCCGTCATCCGACACGCTTTAGATTGTATAATCAATACGGAGTCAGCTGCAGCCTGCTTTGCAGCAATTGGAAGGGCGGGCGGCCGCTACGCATGTTTAGAGAGCCTGCAGGACGAATGGCGCACGCGCCGTGCTGTTTATGTGAAAGAAGTCATGGGGTTTGAGGGATTTGGATTCGAAGTAGCACTTGGCGACAGTATCTACTCGCGCAAGGCGAACCGAGAGCTATTCTTAGAGGGCTGCTTCTGGACAAATGAAATGCAAGCATCGCTAGATGCTGGCTTGATCAAGCCTCATCCGTCCTGTAACTGTTAGACACCGCTACCCATTGTTACAATTGGAGAAGCTTCGTCCTATTGGCACTTTGATTATGCTTCGTGTACTGTAGTGGATGCAACAGCATCGACTCAAAAGCTCATATCCAGACCATCGGTCGGGATGGAAAGCTGGTTTGCTCTGATAAGAGAGATTGTGGTGGGTGTAAAGCTAATACACACATTTACTAGGTATATACGTGCCTAGGGAAATGCTTCTAATTAAAACGTATATAAATCACAGGGGGGTGGCTACGGAAAGTTACGGGTAGAATAGGACCTAAAGAGGATATATGTATTTACCTAAATTAAAACCTGCATGAGTTGCAATAACTTAAAACTTAAGGTTAATGTTAGCCCTTGGGATGACCTTATATGTTAAGGCAGGCTGTGGATAGCGGCGTTGTAATTGGAGGTGTAAACGTTAATCATAGGTACCTCAAGTTGACGCAGGTTTGGACTAAAAAAAAGAAAAATGTTATTTTAATAGTAATTGTACTTCAATAATAATGAATTTCAACCCCACTTTTTCAAAAAAGCAGCAGAAAATAGAAATTCCTTTTATTTATATTACCATTTATTTTTAATTAATTTAATTACATTATTAAATTAATTATATAATTTTTATTAGTTAAATTATTAAATATAATATAATATAATAATTAATATAATAATGTAATAATATAAATAAAAAATCTTTAAGTAATAAAGCTTTTTAAGCAAGCGGTAAAAAAGGGGGTCCTAGAATTAAATACTATTAAAGTACAACTACTATTAAAATAACATTTCTCAAAAAAAAACGTACAGGTTAACAGGTCCTACCTTGCATAATAGCGCGATGCTGGGTTCTTACCTAGGTAACCTAAGACCGCTAATCCATAAGGCTGTACAGTCCTGGCACCGGCGCGGTAAGGCCGCCCCGGCCGCCTTGTTTCAGTGGGGACACGAGGCATAGCTGCACCGTGCATAAAGGCAGGAAGTGGATCATCGGTCCGCCCAACCACATATGCACTTCACCGTATGCTCCTTGCTTGCTATCCCGCCCGTCCCTCGCCCCATCATCATTACCTACGTCAAATTCATAAGTGAACCATGAGATGCGTTTTTATAAAAATTGTCGATGCAAAAAATCCGCGAGTAGCAAAGAAACTCGTTTTTCCTGATGCGACTTGGCTCTTAGCCTTCTCGGATTGATCCTCGGGCAGCTTCTTCCTTGCTGGCTTCTCCTTTTTGAGACTAATTTGTAACACAGAGAATTCGACCCTGGCCGTCATCGACTCAAGAAAGGACAAGTTCAGTGGCAAGCTTGCGAAGGTGAAGGAAGCTGCGAGCGAACTCGAGAAAGAAATTCGCCTCATCGTTGACCACTCCCTAATGAAACTGGCTCAAGACACATTGACGACTCTGGCCGATCTTCGTCAGACTACGGACACGACTCAAGCTCGCCTATCTTCGAACGGCACCTACGGATGAGAGTTTCTACAAAATGCTGGAAGAAACCCCGCCAAAGCTCTGGGATCTGTATGAGGCTATGATTCACGATAGCTCGAACAAGCTGAATGTCGGTCAGATCCAATGCCGAAACAGCATTCTACTGCTCCTCGTGGGTACCCAAGCCCCGATCACGTGGAAGGAAATCAGCAGTGCCTTGTCTCTGAGGGGAGATTCCGAAGAGGTGATTTTCGAACTCTGCGGGCAACTGGTGACTTGGGCGGGCGACCTTCTGCATTTCAGCCACCCCACGGTGAAAGAATTCCTCCTGGACAAGTCATGCTTACCCTTGGATCTCGAAAGGATAATCCTTCTCTGCGAAGACGACTCTCATGCATTGCTGGCACAAAAGTGTCTTTCATACCTAATGGACAATTAGTACGCGTCAAAGGCTCGGATTGCCCAGCTTCTTCGGGGCAATTTCAACGAACCTGTATTGACAACGGGAATCTTCCCTACCCGGGAAGCCATGTCATACGAATATGCTGCACGACATTGGGGTTATCATCTTTCCAAAGTGGTCTCACCAGAGCCCGAACTTCTGTCCATCGCGAACGAATTCTTGCACTCCTTCCAGTCGGTCCACTGGGGTGAATTCGCCTACAGACTTGCTCGAGGCAACCAGAACACTGCAAGTAACTTATCTATCGTTCAAGCGGATTACGGGTATCTACACGAGTGGTTCGCCAAATTGTCAGAGGAATCCAAGTCTCAAATCGGAATTGACGATTTCTTCATTGACCCATATGAGAGGATTAGCAAGTTGTGGGCAACACCACCAGAGGATGACAAAGTTCTGCCGTGGATGCCTCTTATACGGCTGGGGGGGTATTGTTGGGAGATGGCCCTGGTAGATCAGGGTATCAAATTCCGACGTGAAGCAAGAAACGGGTGTATTGAGACTCTCGGGCCGCGGCACCCCTTGACACTGCGAAGTCGAAAGGACATGTGTCAGGTATTTATGATTGAGGGTCGATATCTGGACGCCTTGGACGAGTACAATGCAGTTGTGGACGCACAGCGCGATGTGTTAGGCCCAGACAACCCCGCTGTATACGAGACACTTTCTCATCGTGGCATCACGGAGTTCCTAGTGACTCGCTTTAACGGAGCCATTCAGTCCGAGACAGAAGCGAGCAAAGGGCTGCTGCGATCGGAAGAACCAGAAAGCACTCTATATATTGTATCTCAATGGATTTTGACGTGGCCCTTGAGTTACACGGGAGATTACCAGAAGGCGCTCGAGATTTGCCAGGACCTCTTCAGGCGACGGAGGGAGAAACACGGCCGCGGAGATCCTTACGCCTTGATGTTTACGATGGTCATGGGCGAGTTGTTCCGGAAGCTGGATCGGATGGAGGAAAGCATCCAGCGGCTTGAGGAGGGTTTTGACGTACAGAGACAGGCACTGACCGGGTCCATCTCCCAAAACATGGGCCTCCTGGATCCTGCCATCAACCTGGTGTTGTCATATCGCGAATCAGGCCAGAATGACAAGGCTTGGAAGCTCATTGGCGAGATCGAGGGCCCCGAGGACGAACTTCCTGACAATTTTTACGATCGGCAATGTCAGATCACGCACGTCAAGGGCCTCCTTCTCTCGGATGAGGGCAAGGTCAATGCTGCCATCAGTCTCTTGCAGGGGTTCTTTGTTAAAATCAACAGAGATCAGTACAACCGGGCTGTACTCTGGCTACTACTCGATCTGGCCGCCATGCTGCGTGCTCGAGGTGAAGAGGGCGACGAGGACCAAGCTTTGATCAACTTCCAAAATATCCTACGAAAGATAGACGAGGCTAACAGCTCTCCCATCGAGGTGATCGGAGATGAGCTTGGTTTGGAGGATGATCTTACGTCTGAGGGAGAACCGGATCTTCCGGGTCTCCTGCACGATGCAGAGCACGCTCTCACGCTTGTGCGAAACCTGAAGTTTGCCGAAGCTGAGATGTTCTTGGTGGAGAAGCAGGTTGAGTGGTACAGGCAAAAGGACTTCTGGATCATATACGGCTCCGTTCCAGCCGATACCACGACGATGAAGCCCCCTTCGCTCGAAGTGGTGGACGAGTTCATCCCGATAAGCTACCCCAAGAGGGCGAAGAAGTGCTCGCTGCGGTAGAACGTGCGGTTACTTTTTTTCTTTCCCCTTCCTTGCTTTCCTTTTCCTTGTCTTTTCCAGGACTTGAGAAGGATCGCCATTTCCTTCCTCATTCTAGATATTGGGCTGGGAACCTGGATCAGCCTTTCTTTTCTTCTCGTTCATATCGAGACTTGATTTTGACAGTGAATGATACTGACCGCGTTTCAGCCGACCCATCCCAATGTGTCTGCTCTCCGATATTATCACGCTCACATATTCCCTATGTCGATCTAACACATCGGGATTCCTCTTCTCGGATATCTCGCAGATTGCTCTGTGACCAAGTTATTTGGTCTCAAATCTCTTGATGGTACATTAGGATTGTGGCATTGGAAACTACGGAGCTGGATGCGATAAATACCGAGACGAAAATCTGCCCAGCTATCAGGAATGTGGGAAAATGGACTCTACTCAAGCTAGAAGGTTGATAAAGAGCAATGACTATAGACAAATCAGCGAGAGAAAGCTGAAAGACATTGCAACAATTCTGCTGCAAGCCTGCCCTTCGTGGATGAGCGGGACATGCATTGTGTCGATTGGTATACCTATATGACAAAGCTTTATTGACTATATCGCCGTAGGGATCTGCGGCAAAGGCTTTATTGTGTGCATATAGCGCAAGCATCTAGCTTATGACATGGCGTAATTGACCATCATAAGCATCCAAATTGCCACGGCTTCATCGACCACGTAAGCCCTATGTTAACCATTCGACAAGGCTTCCTGGACCACATCGTATCTAGCGATTTGACTGGCAGTGGTTTATGGATTAGATTACCCCCGATATCAACTGGGCCATAGTTTAGAGAGAGGCGATTCCCCTCTTAGCTAGACATAAGGTGAATACTTGAGGAAGAATGATGAATCCTGTTAATAGAATCCACGCCGAGCTCGCTTAGGGTTAGGGTTAGATGATCTAACAATTGCCTCTTACCTACACCGGGCAAGAGGATGGCCCGTTTATGTTACAAAGCACGATGCGGCGGTCAAATCTGAGGACTGCGGCATATGCACACGCGTAGGGACTCCTTGCGCGGAGTAGCCTGCCGCAAGTGCCGGCAATAAGAGATCATCTGATTGGGTTAGCACAAAAGCCCGAACTTAAAAACATGCTTATGTTATTCTTAATGTTTAAAATGTTTAATGCGCCGCCGTTAAGGGAGGTGTAGCGCGCGCCTCGAAGCCCCCCGCATGATATACCTAATAAAAACGCTTAGAACGTTGCGCACGGCCGAGTTGCCTATTCCGGGCGAGTTGGGTTAATATAATATCCCAAATAAGTTTGGGTATTAAGCTTAAATTTCAAATTCGATACTTCGAGGCGAACCTCTCACTATTAACTGCCTTTAGTCTTCTATACAATGGCGTTTAACACTGGTTCGGGATACCTCACAGCTAGTAACGAATATTCGAAATTATGTCAGGCACAAGGAGTAGATCCTACCAATCATATCTCCCTGCACGCCAATCCAGATTCGATAACTCAAAATGCCGCCAGATAAGTACGTCCATACAATTCCCAGAGCAGACAGGGCGGGAACGAACCGCGGTGGCTGGCATTTCGTATCTGTCCCTTAAACAGACCGCGAACACTATTTAAGCTTGGCAATAGGCCTGCATGACACCACCTTCGTGAATCTTGAATACGGGGTGGACATTGCATGCGGCGCTTAAGTGTTGTGTCGGATTATTAAGGGGAACCCATCAACACCACAGCAACACTGGAATATGATTAGGTCGCCGAATTTACGTTGCATCAAGCTACTTGTTCGGATGAATCATGATGCAGGGGTTGTCTGTTTATATGTAAACAAAACCCTCGTTAAGCCAGGTGAGCCATCTATCATTCTGTTGTCTATGTTACACTCTGTCTAAGTACTTACAACTCTTTGCGCTGTAGAAGTATCATTGGAGTGTTTATTCGGGTTCAGCATACTACCACTCGGTATTCAATTACCCAGAGATGTTATCGTCACCGCCATTCGTTGTATGCGGCCTCTTATATATTGCCTTAGCTTCTGGTGTAGCAATTAGAAAGGATGTCGTGCCCTCAGACGCAACCAAGGCCGCGGTTGATGCCATGATGGCATTGTATGATGAGAAAACCGGTCTTTGGGATCCCAACAGTACCGCATCATCATGGTGGCAGAGCGGTGTCGCTCTTTGGGCCCTCACAGAATACATGGTCAAGTCAGGTTCTCACGAATACTTGCCTCAGGCACTAAATACAGTCAAGATCCAGCGGGAGCCTCTTGCTTGGTGGCCGGGTGGAGATGGCGAATTTCGCGCTGACAGTACTGATGATACGGGGTGGTGGGCTCTCGCCATGACCAGCCTATACGATCTCACAGACGATGAAGAGTACCTACTTATCGCAGAGGAGGACGAGGCCTATATGTATGAATACTGGAACACCACAACATGCTCCGGTGGGCTAATATGGAATATCCCGAGCCGTACTTACCATAACGCCATTAGCAACGAGATTTATCTGCAGCTCACGGCCAAGCTACATAACCTCATCCCAGGAGATACGACATACTTAAACCACAGCCTACGAGAGTGGGAATGGTTTAAGAACAGCGGCATGATCAACAGCGACAACCTTATCAACGATGGGCTAACAGACGACGCATCCTGCGTTAACAATGGAATGACAACATGGACATACAACCAGGGTGTAATCCTAGGTGGCCTTGTCGAATTATACGAAGCCACGGGGGATATATCATACCTCGACGAGGCGCAGCAGATAGCAGATGCCGTAGTCAACAGCGCGACTCTTGTTAAGGACGGGACATTGACAGAGCCCTGCAGCAATGAAGAAGTCTGTGAGCCAAATGGCACGGCTTTTAAGGGTATTTTCATCCAGGAGCTGGCCAAACTCAACGCCGCCCTAGATGACCACCCTTATCGCTCTTTTATATCGCAAAATGCGGTCACCGCGTATGAGAACGCGCGGAACGGGTCGAACTTCTATGGCTTCCAATGGCAAGGGCCGTATGATAGTGTCACGGTCGGCACACAGGAGGCTGCCGTTCAGCTTTTGATCGCGGCGTATTTGTAATACTCAATCCGAAGGTGGTCAGAGTGTTTCTGGGGCTACTATCCACCTTGTTGTCAAACTGTGGCGTGGGCGGTTACTGAGATGCCTGGTAGTTGGTTCCCGGCTAGATTGTTGCTATTGCCCGTTGGGTACTAGCAACAATGTGTCTAGAACTGTAAACTAGCGACGGGGAAAGACCGCTGTTCAATCAACCGTTATAGAAGGGAAGTAACTGCCCTCTTTACACCGTAAAAGCCGCGAATACATCTAAATATCGTCCTAAATATCATTTTGTTTATACATTATCAGAGATATCTTTTGAGTAAATTATCGAATGCCGTCGGTTATCGTGCTGAGTTCCATTATAAAGGCAGTTCTCTTGATTCGTTGTTATAAGTCTATCGTCGTGTCATTGGTTGAACGCGGCTGAGGCGTAGAAGCATTAAGTACCTAATGGATAATTTCTCACATCTTTATACCAGTCTGCACGACCATCTTAGTGGATTATCCGTTGTTGTTGTAATCCCTCTTCCCCGTTCCAAGCCACCAATGTAGACACCCAAAACATAGGCATCTTCGATAGCCCAGGCCCAGGCCCATCGACCGTCATCGGTATATACGTATCGGGCAATAAGATTTCGTCCTCCAAGGTGCTTACCCTATCTATATAGTAACGGCATTTCAAACCTCATCGTTGAAGGCCTTTGTCTTCGCGTCGCAGTAGTCAAGGTATACACTAGTTACCAATACACCAAAAAAAAATAAAAAAATAGTCGGAATGGGAGGGCAGACATGGTGGTAGGTACCTATATATTGTACAGACATTTACGCCTTAGCTGTCTCAGTAATTCCTACTATAAAGTGGCCATCGTGCTAGCTGTTTAACCATTCTACCTAATATAAGCCGTGTGTAGAACACCGGAAACATTGAACAATATAGTTCCAAAGCTAGGCTTCAACGTTCACCAAGGTATTATAGAAGGCTAAAGATTATTGTATGAAAAGAATGGATTAACATAGCGTTGCTCCCACACAAAAGTTTGTGGATGGATGGTAACTGTTAAAGCGGAACCGAGGACTCGTTACGTAACACGACCCCTCAACAGCATACCTAGTTATCTCAGCGAGCTCAAACCACAGATCCAATGTTTTTCTTTTTGTACCCCTTTAGCCACACCAAATTTCAACCAATTAGATAACTTAAAATAGATAAAAAACAAATACTGGATTATAGTTTGAGGCATAAATGTAAAAAATAATGGTTTTAAATATATTTTTTATTTTTTACATAGTAAATTAAATTTAATTAAATTATTTAACGTATTTATTAAAATAATTATTAATAAGTTTTATATTTAAATTATTTTTTTTAATTTTAATATAATAACGTTAATTACATTTATCGCGTTTTAATAAACGTAATTTATACGTTATTGTTACGAACTAACATTTACTAAAAACATATTAGTTTAAGCAATGGAAGCAAGGTTTTTAAAATAACGGGTAAATGTTAACAATGGTTACGATCCTATATAATTTAATTAATTTAATTAATTTAATTAACTATATTATAATGCTTTTAAAAAAGTAAAAGGGATAATTAAAATTATTTATTTATATTTTTTTAATTATTAATTTAAATCTTATATTTAATTTATATAAAAAAACTTTAAACCTTTTTAACGAATATTTTTAACATTATATTAATATTTAATTTACATTATTATTATTTATTTAAAATTAAAACCTTAATTATTATATTTTAATAAATTTAAATGTAAGTTTATTACATTTTAATAGTTTTTTAATTAATATTATTATTAATTAAATATAGTATAAGTATTAACTTTAATAATAATATCCTTTTATTTATGTAAATTACTTATAACTTATTTATTTTAAAATATTTATTAAATAAGTTTTTTAAAATTTAACTTTTAATAAAATTTATTTAAATAAAATACCGTAATAATTTTAATATATTATCTTTTAATTACGTTTTAAAATTAATTAATAATATGGTTTTAATAGAAATTAGGTTTTAAATAAAATTATTTAAATTTAAAAAAAAGGTAAAAGAAATTATTAAAACTATTAATAAAGGAAAAGGAAAAGTAATTAAAAATAAAAATAATAATAATAATAAAGTAATAAACTTAAATAACGTATTACAGTTAAAAAAAATATAAAAAGAGCATATAAAGTATATAAAAAATTTAAAAATAAATTAATAAACTTAACTTATATTTAATACAATAAAATTTTACTGTTTTTTTATTATTTAATAAAAGATTTAAACCTTTTTTATTGCTTAAATATAATAGTATTATTAATATTAAGGATTAACTTAATATAATTAAATTTTATTTAACTTTTTTTTAAGTTAGTTTTAATAAAGATAAGTATAAAGTTTTAATAGTTTTAACTTATTTTAAATAATTATTTAAATATAATTTAAGAAAAAATAAAAAAGTTTAAATACGTTTTTAATAAATATACGAATTTCGAAAATAAGATGCGATTAATGTTTAAAAACTTACTTAAAAAAACATTTATAAAGTTATCCAAAACTTTAAATAAATTAAAAAAGTTTTAAAATATATTATTAAATTTAAATAATTAGTAGTAGTAGCTTAACTTCCGGAGGATATTTAATTTAATTACTTTTATAAAAGATTAATAACTTAAATAAAAAATAAAATCTTAAAAAAAAACTTAAGTATATTAATAAATATATTAAATAAATTATTATTTATAATAAAAGGGTTTACGAAAAGTTTTAAGAGAAAAGGATTAAAAAGATAATTTATATTTATATTAAAAAGGAACTTAAAGAAATAAATTTTAATATTATTAAAATGGAAAAATTTAAAAAGGATATAATTAAAGTTAAATATTATAATTATAATAAAATAAGTTATATATTTAAGAATTATAAAGCATTTAAGAAATAGCTTAAAATATTAAAAGAAGGAACGGAGCTGTAAATAGTAAAAATAATATTATTAAAAGCTTTTAATATATAATTTACTTAAAATATTAAGAATTATATTATTTTAAAATATTATTATTAATAATTTAATTTAATTAATTATAATTATTGAAATTACTTATAGCATTTTAATAATAATAAAAAAGAATAAAGGTTAAAATTTATAAAGTAATAACGCTTATTGTTTATTAATATAAAAAAAAGATAAAATATTAACAAAAAATGCTTATAAAATATCTTTAATTATATTAAAAATTAATATAATTATTAAATTATTAAAAACGTTTTATATAAAAATTCTAAATATTATTAATATAAATATATTATAAAAAGGATTTGGAAAAAAGGTAATCCTTTAAAAATTAAATTTATTAAACTTTAAAATTAATAAAAAAAACAAAATATAATAATGTTCTAAATTATTAATAAATAACTTTTTTATAAATTTAATAATATATAATTATAAATAATAAATAATAAAAGGTATAATTTTTAATTATTTAACTTTAATTAAGGATTTTTTAAAAAAATAACGGCATTTGTATTTAATAAAGAATCGTTAAACGAAAGAAAAAAGAAAATTAAGAATTTTATATATTTTTAATAAATATTTAGATAGCCTTAATTCTTTTAATTTTAAATTTAATTTAATTATAGAAACTGGAAATACAGTAATTTTTAACTATTAAAAGAACATATAAATAAAAAATTATAAATATAAAATTAAAATTTATAAAAACTACTATTAATAATTACTTTTAAGAATAAAAGAGAAATATATTAATAATTAAAGTTAATTTAAAAGTAATTAATATAAATATTTTAAGAATAATATATTTTTTACGAAAGATTATTAAAAAATAATTATTAAATAAGGAAGGATAAATTCCTGTTTTTAGAATTAAAAAACCCAATTTAAAACTTAAAACATATATACACAATCTTTAGTAAAATCCAGAATATAAATAATATAATAAAATATCTTAAATTTTTTTATTTTAATAACTATTACCGAATATATAATTTAATTAAAAGAAATATAGGTTTTTGGCCTAAGTTAGTAAAAAGATATTTATTTATATATAAGTATAAAAATATTAATAAAGTTAAAATTAAATTCGAACTTATTTTTTTAAAATATATCTAAATAAATAATATAGTTATTAATATTATATTTTCCATTAATAATAAACTTAAAAAATATATTTATTAAAAAAGGATTTAGGAAAATTATAATTAATATTAATATTAAGTATATATAATTCATAAATTTATTATTTTAAAGAAATATATAGAAAAATATGAAAATATAAAAGTACTTAATAAAATTTTATTAAAATTTATTAAAAAATAATAAAATTAATTTAAAGATAAAAATTTAGAAAAAAAGAACTTCTTAAAAAACCTTAACGCAATATAAGTAATTAATAACTACTTATATATTATAATTAAATAAAATAACTAAAAATTCTAAATATTTATTAATTATAAATATTTTATAAATATTATATAATTAAGCATAATTAATAAATATTAAATTAATTATTAAAATAAAGAATTATTATATTAAAGATTAATAATTAACAGATAATTAATTAAATATAATAAAAAATAAATTAAATAAAAAGTTATAAATCTTTTAATCCGGATTTAATAAAAAAAATAATTGATTTTTTTAATATTATTAATATTTAATATAATATAGTTTTAAAAAAATCTTAATTAAAAGTTAATAACCTAAAAATAGATTAGCAAAAAAACATAATCGAGTAACTATTATTGGAGCTAAATATAAAAGGTTATAAATCGGAGTATTAAAAAGAAATTAACTTAAATAAATTTAATATAACAGTAAAAAAGTACGTATTACAGCTTTTAAAAAAGCTTATAAAATAATACCTCTATATATATTATATTTTATAAAATTAATTAAATAAATAAAATAATAAAAAACAATTAAAAGAAAGATTAAAGTAATATATAATAAATTTGCTAATATATTAAAAAAAATATTAAAAGAAATATTCAAAATTATTTATAAAAAAATCAAATATAAATATAAGAGTTTTAAATTATAAACTTTATAATTATAAAATAAAATTAAAAGAAAAATAATTACTTAAATTAAATAAGATATACTTATTAAATACAAACAAATAAAAGATATTAATTAAAATTATTAAACGAAAACTCGAAAAAAGATATATATAAAAATTAAACTTATTAATAAAAAATCTAATCTTTTTAATACTTAAGAAAAACAGAAATAAGATATTAAAATATATATAATTATTAATATCTTAATTTTATTATTAAATAAAATAGTTATTCCTTACTTAATATTAATAGCTTAATGGAAATAATAAAAAACGTAAAATAGTTTATAATATTAAATTTTAAAAAAGTTTTTTACTTAATTCGGATAGTTAAAAAAATAAATAAAAAATAGTAATATAAACTTCTTTTAGTTATTATAAATGTTTAGTTATATTATTTAAATTTATAAATACGTTAATAATATTTTAAAAAATAATTAAAACTATA